CCTTGCAGTCATTTAGGTCACTCTCTACAAAGCTAAAGCCCAATTTCTGTTTAACAAGTGTTCCTCTTGAGCCAATCAGAATAAACATTCCTTGTGTCTACTCCTGTTTTCTTTCTGGATTATTCTGGTACGTAATCAGTGCCTCAGAAACAAGAGCTTTCTAACAGGGTTCTTTTGTCTTTTTAAAGCCTGTAAGGAGGTTATAATGTGCCATTCTTTCCCCCAGAGAGAAGGTAGAATCCGACTTGGTATTTCTGGGATTGTTGGTCTTGGAGAATCGACTGAAGGAAGAGACAAAACCTGTCTTGGAAGAACTCATCTCAGCACGGATAAGGACTGTGATGATCACAGGTATAGAGAAAAGTGGGCAGTCAACACAGTGAGAATTTGATGTGGAGAGAGAGACATTGCACAGATAATGTTGTTTATGTGCCACGGGGCAAGGAGCCACCTAGATGCTGCTTTCCTTAAATTTCCACTGCAGTGGTGAAAGAATCAATCAATCAATCAATCAATCAATCAATCAATGATTCATCCATTCATTCAATCAATCAATCAACCAGTCAGCCAGTCAAATAGTGTAATAAATGTCTTTTGAGGCGCAGCAAATCGGGTGATGTCAAATGTGCCAGGGCATCTATTTTGGATGAGGCAGTTCAGAAAGGCCTCCCTGAGCAGTGACATTTGAATTAAGGCCTGAATGACAAGAAGCAAATGCGATGATTTTTATTGTCAAATGTTAGACAATGAAAGATGCTTAATTAATGTGATCTATAAAAGTACAGTGAAGGCTTATCAATAAGAAATCCTGTGATTTTGAAGATAAAAGAAAGATGCCGATCTCTGTATTCCTAACCTTTCACTCTGGATCAGACAAACAAAGGGCCAGGGAAAAGGGATTGCTAAGGGAAATCTATGAGATTTCTTTCTAATGTACACTTTTCCAAGGTAGGAAGGGCAGGGTGGAAGTGTCTGGTGGACAGCTGAACATACCACGGTCAACAGGTAACAGAGAGGGAATAGATGAGCCAGGGAGGGAAGTGGATCGCTCCATCTTGCACCCCCAGCAAGGCACCTCTTCCACTTCTTCCTGCCCAGCCCAGCACCGAGCAGCACGTTCAGCTGTGATCCAATTGCCTTCTACACACCTGAAAAGTGTTGAGGGGAGTTTAGATCAAAGCCATAACAGGGACCCTTTAGATCATTACAGATGATAAATGTCTACGTCAGACAACGGAAGCCCAGGCCTGGGCTGTCCTTGCTCCAAGGTGGTCTCTCCCAGGTGGGGGCCCTGCAGTGCATAGTCTCATGGCTCTGATTTCCTGTCCAACCTCAGGACCCTGTCCTTTTCCACCAGTCCAGTACTTTGAGGATCCTCATGTTTATGACCCTGAAACTGGGGAGAAGCCAGCCCCTACAGTCAGCCAGAAGCTGTATTATTCATTTTTTAGTAATTGCTCTGGGAAGCAACATATGTATCTACTATTTCATGAAGCTTTAACTCAGGAATGTCCCTTACTGGTTCCTTATGTTATAGGTGTCATGAATGTGACTCACGCTGAGAGTCCCCACCATGTCTTACAGTGCTGTCTTTCCTTCCAACAGTTGAGAGCTAGAGAATATGATTGAAGAAGTAGTCTTTCATACTTCCCCGGAGGTTTTTCATCTCTGTTGTGCTGTTTTTAGTCCTTAAGTACAAATTAACCTCTGCTATCATTTCCTTTCAGTCTGAAGAGCTGCTTTTAGCATTTCCTTTGGACACATCTGCTGGCAACAAATTATGTTCGTTTTCTTTCATCTTAGGATATTTTTATTTATTCTCTATCCCCCAAGGGTGTTTCACTCACTGTATGAGTCAGAGCTGAAGATTCTTTTCTTACAGCACTTTAAAGATGTAGTTCCACTGTCTTCTTGCCTCCTTGGTCTTGGGGCAGAGACGGTGATGATTTAAATTATTGATCCCTTCTCTGTAATGCACTTATTTTCTCCCATCTGCTTTGTTCTTTACCTTTGATTTTAGCAGTTTGACTCTTGTGTCTCTGGATGTAGATCCTTCAAAGTTTTCCCCACTTGGGGTTCACTGAGGCTTCTTGCATCTGTAAATTTTAGTCTTTTGCCATATTTGGAGAATTTTCCGCCATTATTTTATCAAGTATTTTTTCCCCATTTCAGGCTTTCTCCTCTCACAGATTCCACTCAGCTGAATGGAGTCCTTTTGATATCCTCAATTCTTTTCATTTTTTGTTTGATATCCTCCATTCTCTATGTTCATTATTGACCAACCCTCCAGTTCACTGGCCCTTCCTTTCATCACTTCCATTCTGCTATTGAGTGCATCCCTGGATTAAAAAAAAAACTACACTGTATAGTTTTTTTTTTAATCATTTGTACATTTCTTTGTTGAGAAATCTGACTTTCTAGTTGTTCTACAAGTATTAGCAGTTGCCACACAGAGAAGATTTCAATAGCTGCTATCTGAGTATCTAAACATAGAGTCATCAAAGGGTTGGTAGCTATTGATTTTTTTAAACATTTTTTTAAAAAATGTATTTAGGACAGGGGGCTTCATGAGATGGCTCAGTGGAATAAGTGCTTCCCTGGCAAG